CCCCCGACCCCCGGGACCCCCGCCGGGGCCCCGGGCCTGGGGGTTGACAACCCTGCTGGCTGGTACCGACAAGTACCGGCCTGGACTGAACTGGACTGGACTGCCCCCGAATAGAACACAGGCCTGAGAGAACAAGCCAAGGGGCTGGTCTCACAGGCCACCCAACCAGAGGTCCGCTACACGATCCTCGGCCTGTGATGGATCGCCTAGATACAAACACGCTTCCGTCAAGAAGCGGAACTCTACCAAAGAAAAAGAAAAGCCTGAGTAGTCTAGGATGCGGAGCTAGCTCCATGCTGAGTCCATGCGATGCAACCTAGGCTAGAAAATGTCACAAAACAGCAATGTCACAGCTAACAGCCTAAGTAAAAGCAGAAGCAACTAACTAGCATACATGTCCTAGGAAAGCAAAGCAACTAACTAGCATACATGTCCTAGGAAAGCAGGAAGTAGTGACAACTAGATCCTAGAATGTTGGAGGCACTAGCCTCAGTATGGTAACAGCTGACTAGTGTATAAGTCCTAAGAACAACAAAAGCAGAACAACTAAATCCTAGAAATGTCAGAGGCAGTAGCCTCAGTCTGAGAGCGACAAGCAACAACAAGTCAACCATATGTCACAGGAGGGGTGTGTCGCAAACCAAAGGGTGGGATGGTCTCTGAGGGTGGCGAATGCAGCCTAGGGGTCGAAAACTCCTAAGGGCATCCACACATAGATAACAAGGAGACACATGTCATCAGGCTCAATGAGGGTAGGGAACTGGGAGCGAACAGAACCAATGACCCTAACAGATAGACCATCGGGGCAGGTAAAGCTCGGTTAAGGGGTGACCGCTATGGCGGGTCGACCAAGCAAGGGAACAAGGGAGCCTGGTATATTGGGCGCACCTAGATGAAGCATGCGGGGCTCCCTAACTAGGGCGTGAGGGCCGGCAGAGGGTAAGAAGGTGATGGGTCAGGGAATCATGCAGATGACTCCTAAGGTGGGGAAGTCGGAGCTAGATCCGTAAGATGGGAAGCCAGGGCAACGCTACGGTCCCGATGCCTATGCGTATACCAAGGGAGAACCCAACTCAGAGGAACCCGGCTAAAGGGAGACCATCATGCGACACAAGCCGGGTACTGTACAGGGTAAAGTTGTAAGAGAGTGGCGACGTCTGAAGTAGGCAAAGCTGATCGTGACGAAGTCCATGAAGCTGCCGATGACATCCACGATGAGAAGTCCGGAATGCCGTCGAGGAAGAGCCGTAACGTCGACGAGCTGAAGTAGCAAAACTGGAGTGGATGGAGTACTGAGAAGTCAAGGACGTGGGAAGGTAAGTCAGAGTCAATCGTCGTATCGAGCAAGACGACGAAGAGTGCGCTGTGGACGCTCAGAAGCATCCGGCTGCTGTTGAAGGTCTGCCTCAGATGGAGCAGGCTCGACTTCAGCGGTCTCCTCAGCCGGGGGAGAAGGAGGAGGGTCAGTGGGCTGAGGAGGAGTAGTGAACCCAGCACGACGAGCACGGTCATAGGCACGCACCAACATGCGAGCGTGCTGCAAGTGCTCGAGGGGCTCCCAGGTAGCCTCCTCATCACGGTAACCCTTCCAACGTACGAGATACTCGACGTGGGGAGGGTTGTCGTCGGTGACTCGGCGACCAATGATGTCTGAAACGAGGAACTCCTCGTGGCCATCCACCATGATGGGTGGAGGGCGCTCGTATGGTCGTCCAGCGAAACGCTCAGACGGTCTGCGGTAAGGACGCAGTAACGAGACGTGGTAGACATCGTGCAACCGAGCCTGGCGTAGGTAGTCGGGCAGCTTCACACGGAAGCTGACCGGGCTAGATGCCGTGTCAGAACCGACGGCCTGGAGGATGCGGCATGGGCCAAAGAAGCGACGCCGAAACTTGCGAAGCGTGTCCGCTTCGAGCTGTAAGTGGCGGGCGTCGATAAGCACGTCATCACCGACTTTGAATGGGTGGTCCATCCTCGATCGGTTCGCACGTGCTGCCATGCGAGTCTGGGAAGCGGCTA